ATTCTGCGCCTTCGACTTCGTCTTCTGCTGTCACCCCGCGTAACCCCTGCCTCGTAGCCTCCACGTATTCCGACGTAGCCGCGCAGGAGGCGTTCCCCTCTGTCCTCTCGTCGTACGAATGAATGGCATCGTTGACGCCGTCAGCCATTTCCGAGGCATTCGTGCCGGGACCAGGCGCGGCTCGCGACGAGGGCGCCCTTGATACCAGAGTTGTACGCAAGTCACGACACGACGGAACATTATGAATGGCCTAATGGCCCGCATGTACTGCGGGGATTGCAGAGTAGAGGCGAGCGCGAGTGAGGCTCGATCACTAAGGCCCAGTGCATAGGGTCCACTTGCTTGGATATGGCTCGTCTATATCATATATCGTCGTCTGGCTCACTTCCGCAAATCATTCTGCGCCTTCGACTTCGTCTTCTGCTGTCACCCCGCGTAACCCCTGCTCGTAGCCTCACGTATTCCGACGTAGCCGCGCAGGAGGCGTTCCCCTCTGTCCTCTCGTCGTACGAATGAATGGCATCGTTGACGCCGTCAGCCATTTCCGAGGCATTCGTGCCGGGACCAGGCGCGGCTCGCGACGAGGGCGCCCTTGATACCAGAGTTGTACGCAAGTCACGACACGACGGAACATTATGAATGGCCTAATACATAAATACTCGCCTCAACAATAAGAGCAAGCAAATATTATATAACCAGGTTGGTCCCCCGTCAACCGCCGGGACCTTCTTTCACAGCGTACGCTTTACGGCCTAAAATCACCTTACGAAAGCTAATTGCATCCTAGGCCTGTTGGGGGTGGTTTCCCGCCTACCCTCCTCGAACACTTCACCCCCTCTCCTCTCCTTCCACTCCAGCTGCCACCGCAGCACCATGTGGAATGAACGGAAGTGTGCTCAGTAGGTGTTTATATAGCCGTTGGAGTGTTATCACAACTATCCCATTACAAAACATTGATATCTCAAATCCTGTAAGCTACCCGATTTGTTAGCGGTTTGTTTATCCCATGAGCTTCCTTCTCACTCACTTCATTTTGCGGACGGACACACATACATACATACATACACACATACAGACACACAAACCGACACACAAAGTTAGCGCTTTATAAAATAGAAGGAACAAGAGGAATCAGTCTCCCTACCGGATAACATGTTCATAGCTTACAAACAACTTGCCTGCCTTAATCTTTCGGAGCTTCAGACCACACCAGACATACTCCGACAGTATCATCATATGTACAACTCAATAAAGGGATTATTGAGGAAGTGGATGTCCGCCAACCGCCCACCGGAAAAATAGTCCACTATCTCAGTCATCAAGCAGTGATCACCTCGGCAAAAGAATTTAAAAACCTGAAAGTAGTGTTTGATGCATGCATTTTAAGGGGGCCAGCCGTCCCTGAACGATGTTTTCCACCAAGAACCAGTAATCTTGCCATTTATGCGAAATGTACTTCTCCGCTTCGGGATTGGAAACTGTTGTGTATATGAATAAGCTGATAAATAGATTGATCACAACCATCCATTCCCTACCGTATATAAGCTGACCTCGAGTCAAGGATGGCGGGTCAAGGACTGGCGATCAAGGAGCGGAAGAATGGATCAACCGCAGCTGATGGCAATCTTCAAGGAGTTACTTGAAGAACAGCAGGCAGGCAGAATTGCAACTCTAAGAGCAAAGGAGGCAGAGTTTAGAGTTGATTCAAATGTTTACATGCTGTGCGGAAGCGGAGCTGGCAACAAGGTTCGGACTGAAGAAGACAAATGTTATGGCCGCGCCGAGTAACCAAAAAACAAAAAAAAACCGAGAAAAAAAGAAACCTAAAAAAAGTCATGAAGATGGGATTCTCCAGATGGTACTCAAGATACAAGGAAGTGTTCACTGAAGATGCCGACAACTTCCTGAAGCGGCAAAGTTGAGACTTCTTTGTGAAAATCTTGATAACATTACTTTTGAGAAGTACCAGCGACACGTATTGCCAAGGAATGTGTCAGACATCGGTTATCAAGAAACTGTGGACAATCTGAAGTACTTGTTCGACTTTGAAGCGTCCGAATTCACTACCAAGTATCAATGCCTCAAACTTGAGAAGAACTAAACGAAAATTACCTCGCGTACACAGGTAGAGTCAACGAATTTTGTGAGAAAGCAAAACTTCATGACTTAGATTCGGATGGCATCAAGTGCTTGCTCTGGATATTCGGACTGAAGTCGCAGACAGAAGCAGAAATTCGGCAACGACTTGATCGCAATACTCGACAGAGAATACAAGGCAGGTCGAAAATTTCCTTACATGAATTGTACCAGGAATGCGAGAATTTCTTGAGTATCAAGAAGGATTGTGAATTGCAAACGTTTTGAAAAGCTTTCGAAATTAAGTGTTTTGAAGCTTTTTGGAATAAAATTTTGGAGCCTCAATCTGTTGTTTAACATTTAGGTCCTTATAAGGCTTCGGGACAGCACCATACTAAAAAATCATGGTAGTTGTGAATGGAAGACTCGTTAGAAACCGATAACCCAACTCAGACGTCGCGGGCATGAAGACACAAATGGCGAGTAACGGAAGTTCGATGATGACAACGGTAATGGACATTTTCGATGCTCGCGAAGATCAGCATTACAAACCCGCAGAGGAATCGACCGATCCGGCCGCGGATGTTGATTCACAGAAAATGGAGAGTCGGACGATGTACACCGAGTCCAAAATCGCAGCCACCGCTAAGAAGATCAACACGAAGACCAGTCGACAGATATGGGATATCTCATGTAGTTGTCTGTTGAGATATTATTATCTGTATTTATTGTCCCCCCTTGAAGTGTAACCGTAGTAAAAAAGTATTTTTCTACAGGGGAGGTGTTGTGTATATGAATGAGCTGATAAATAGTTTGATCACAATCAGCCATTCTCTACCCTATATAAGCTGACCTCGAGAAGGGTCGAGACTTTATTGTGTTGTGTTCCGTCTACAATAAACCGGTCGTCTCAAATCGTCTACACTGGAGTGAAGAACACAACAGTAACATTGCCATGATAGCTGATGTGGGAAAAGTTTTCTACAGATCGTCCTCAAGACGGAAAACAAATCTCGTCGAATATTTATACACGAGTGATTTTCGGACTGAAATGCTCACCAGTTCTATTGGCAGAGACGGTCAAATATTACCTGCAGGATAGCCTGTAGGATAGGAGAGATGAATATGAACCTCCGAGGATATCTCACCAACAACAAAAAAGTCAACAAAGCGATTCCTTCACAAGACAAAAGTATGCACAGCTTTATTTCTTCTGTGCCTCACAGGTTTTGTATGGTGGAAGATTTATTGCCTGACGTTTCGACGAAATCGTCGTTTTCAAAGGCCTGAAAGCGTTCCGAAACTTTTACGAACTTAACCTATCCGCTCAACACAAATATGCTAAGCAAACAACGCTCAGGTTTCAAGAAAGACGACATGGAGCCTACTTCAAGCAGTATGCACAGCGTTACGGAAGTTCTTGGAATTTATAGGGATTCAGTAAGATGATCACTTTGTCCTGTATACCCATTTTGCAAGCCACACTACAAATACCAAACGGACTATCCCAGAGCCCATCGCGTCCATTTACGATCCCATGGGGTGGCTAACTCAACTAACAACTAACATAAAAAAGCAAATTGTTCCTGCAACTCTTGTGGTCATTTGGATATGGCTATGATACGCAAATTACGGGAGAACACGCTGTACAGTGGGACGAACAGTTGCCCAAATGGAGAACTGCGAACTAACTCTTCAACGACAAGTTTCACCTCTTCAATCAAGTGTCAGACTTGCACTTTTTGCCGACGCCAGTACGCAAGTGATGGCAGCCTGTGCATATGCGCTAGCAGCCAACAATTCACACCTTGTATTCGCAGGATCCAAGTTAACCAATGCGAGAGCACATGTTACAATTCCGAAAATAAATATGTTCGCTACTAACATGGCTCTAAGAATGGCACAAATATACAACGCATTAGCTGATCAATTGAGGATCTTATCTGTCGCTATTTTCACGGATTCTGAAATCGTTCTCATTGGCTCGCAACATACCCCTTCAAAAGAGATGTCGGCCGTTTTGTGACGAATCGAGTAGCAGAAATTCGAGCAATAGTGAACAATATAGACTGTCCTACACGGTTCGGACATGTTACGAATGAGAATCCTGCATACAGCGCTACAAGAGGTCTTTAGGCGAGGGAGATGGAGACCCATTTGTGGTGGGAAGGACATGATTCCCTAAAGCAGCCGGGGAAAAGTTGGGCCTGGATTCCTTAGCTGAATACCCTTCCCGGAGACATAGACGCAGAAAATATAGAAGCTATTCAGCAAATGATTCTAAACCCAAAAACAACCCTAAACATGGGAAACATCAACGATGTGGAACTTTTGGACTGGAATAGGCACAGTACCCTTGACTCAGCCTAGACGTCTATAGCATACGCACTACGATTTTTGAGGGAGCTGTGTTGCCGTGTTCAAGAAAAAACCGCGTCAAGAATAACAACGCAAGTTCCAGAACTCAGGATGCGACCGGACAGCAAGTTCATCACGGTAGCTGAAAGGAAAGCTGCATTACAAGTCATTATACGCGCGCATCAAAGTACCCATGTTACAGAACAACTCAAACGCTCCACTGAAAAACCTCAATCTACAACCAGATCGGTACGGCATTCTACGCTGTCGAGGAATGCGTATATTCCTGAGTGAGCGAAACACCTATGTTTGTGACCCCGAAGACCCCACTCGCATTTTGCATTATCAAAGATGCTCATCTACCCCTCCATCTCGGCATTTCTCATACCATGGCTACGGTCAGAAGAGAATTTTGGATCCCGAAGCTTCGACAACAAGTTCAACGTGTAACTACTAAATGTGTTTCTTGTCAAAGGATGAACGCATTACCATTCCCATATCCATCGATGGGACCACTGAAGGAACGGCGCGTTATAAGAACCAAGTCTTTTGAAAATGTTGAACTCGATTACTTTGACCCTCTAATTACAAAGGAATGTGACGACAAAAACAAAGTGTGTGGAATCATTATCACATGACGACTAGGATGATCCACATAGAAGTGGTTACGGACACGTCAACCGATAATCTACTCCTAGCACTTCGAACATTTTCCGCTCGTCGAGGAGTACCAAGGACAATTACCTCAGACAATGGACCTTCATTTGTTCTGGGAGATCAAATACTCAAAGACGCTATACTCTTCATCACGAATGACGATGGCTTTCAAGCCACAATGGCACGTAAAGGGATTGAATGGACAACCATCACGCCATACGCTCCGTGGCAGGGAGCGTTCTATGAAAGGTTGATCAAATCGATTAAACATTCCTTTTACAAAGCTGTTGGAAATCGTCTTTTGAAGGAGGAGGAACTGACGACACTACTGGCTGAGATTGAAGGTACTCTGAATACACGACCACTGACATACCAAGGAGCAGACTACGAACCCTTAAGACCTTTGCGAATATCGATTTTGTCGTTAAAGATATCGAAATTACATATCCCTTCGAGTCCTTACAACCGGATAAAGACGACCCAGATTATCTACCCTCCGAGAAACTATTCCGTCTGCAAACCAGAAGACAGGCACAGGAAGCCCTTGCATCCACGCTTGAAGCGACAGAATATTTCTGGAACATATGGCACAAAATCTACCTCCGTAACTTGCGAGAAGTGCACAAGAAATACATGAATGGGAAGCGTACAGGAAACATGAACCGAACCGAGAGAAGGTATGGTAGTGCTACTTGCTGGACGATAGACCACAATACCTGGAAAATGGTGTGAAGGATACGGAACGCTGGAGTCAACATGAGATGCTTTCCAGGCTGGACGGCTGGAGATGAGCGACGGAGATAACGGTGCAACCCGAGGGAACGGCGACAGGACTAGAGGCAGTGGAGATGCCCGCGAGGATCCTGGAAGGCTGCGTTATTTGGCAGAGCCGCTGGTGACTTTCTGGATGGCTGTCCTGGGTCATTCGATTGATACTCGTATCCATATGTACCTGAATCCGCGTACCGCCTATCTGGTGGATATGCGTGCCTCTGCTGGTTCCGTCCTAGGACTAGCTTGGAGTGCTATTTCCTTCTGTTTCGTCTATATATCCTACTTACTATAAAGCGCTTCGTCTGTCGTTCTGTCGTCCCTCTGTCTGTCGTTCTGTCCCTGTCTGTCGTTCTGTATGTCTGTCACGAAATTCCCTAGCTCCTCGGGATCCGCCTGGAGGGACCGGGTCAAGTGTGGGATGGGTGGGCAAGGTCTCACGAAGTACAAAACACACATCAGCTAAGCGGAGCCCCGCCCACAGTGGGCGTGGCGTGCGTCGACATGAAGTGTACTGACGACCGAGATTTTAAGATCTCTTAGAAAACGACCTTGAAACTGGGCCAAAAAGTGGGTAAAGGTTTGCATTGGTGAGTAACATCGAATTAGGGAGACCCACCCCCGGTGGGCGGGGCGTTCTCCAAAAAAGCAGTGCTTTTATGAAAAATTTCATAACTCGGTTGGGAGAAAGCCTACAGAGCAGAAAACAAATTGGTGTAGGGGAGCAATGTCTAAGGTGTTCCCAGCATAGGTGATGTGGACGGAAGGCCCCGCCCACAGGGGGTGGAGCGCGTTCTGAAGTGTAAAGCATTTTCTACAAGTCCTCATAATTCGGGCCGGGGAAGTCTTAAGTGAGCCGGAAAAGGTGGATAGAGGTGGGATGGAGGAGTGGAGGCCAGCTGTCATCGGTGGGCGGGGCTTGACCAAAGTGGGCGGAGTTTGCGACGAAAATTCATAACTCGGCTCCAAGAAGTCCCGGAGGCCGGGAAAAAGGTGGATGGAGGTGGGTGGAGGAGTGGAGGCCAGCTGTCATCGGTGGGCGGGCACTTGACCAAAGTGGGCGGAGTTTGCGACGAAAATTCATAACTCGGGTTCCAAGTGGCCCTGGAAATCGGGAAAGAGGTGCATTGATGTGGGTAGATGAGTGGAGCTTAATCACTATTCGTGGGCGGAGCATGTCGAAAGTGGGCGGAGTTATTCACGAAAATTCATAACTCGGTTCCGGGAAGTCCTGGAGACCGGGAAAAAAGTGAATTGAATCCGCCAACGAAAGTGAAGCCGATTGTCCGCAGAGGCAGGGCTTGCGTCGAGGTGGGCGGAGTTTGCCGGATACTTGATAATTCAGTCTCCCAGACCTATAACTCGGTTCCAAGATGTCGTGCAGACAGGGAAGAAAGTGCATAGAGATGGGTTGAGGAGCGGAGGTCAACTATCATGGGTGGGCGGGACAAGACCAAAGTGGGCGGAGTTTGCGACGAAAATTCGTAACTCGGTTCCAAGAAGCCCTGGAAATCGGGAAAGAGGTGCATTGATGTGGGCAGATGAGTGGGGCTCAATCACTATTCGTGGGCGGAGCATGTCCAAAGTGGGCGGAGTTATTCACGAAAATTCATAACTCGGTTCCGGGAAGTCCTGGAGACCGGGAAAAAAGTGAATTGAATCCGCCAACGAAAGTTGAAGCCGATTGTCCGCAGAGGCAGGGCTTGCATCGAGGTGGGCGGAGTTTGCCGGATACTTGATAATTTAGTCTCCCGACCTATAACTCGGTTCCAAGATGTCATGCAGACAGGGAAGAAGGTGTATAGAGGTGGGTTGAGGAGTGGAGGTCAACTATCATGGGTGGGTGGGACATGACCAAAGTGGGCGGAGTTTGCGACCGCAATATCATAATGGATATCGCGGGAAAAGGGTGCATAAAGCTTGGTGGAATAGTGGAATCCAACTGCCATAGGTGGGCGGGGCATGATCTAAGTAAGCGAAGTTATCCATGAAAATTCATAACTCGGTTCCAAGAAGTCCTGAAGACCGGGAAAAAAGTGAATTGAATCCGCCAACAAATGGGAAACCGATTGCCCTTAGAAGCAGGGCTTGCATCGAGGTGGGCGGAGTTTGTTCCCTACTTACTACAAAGCGCTTCGTCTGTCGTTGTGTCATTGTGCCGTTCTGTCGTTCTGTATGTCTGTCACGAAATTCCCTAGCTCCGGAGGATCCGCCTGGAGAGACCAGGTCAAGTGTGGGATGGTGTGGCGCAAGGTCTCACGAAGTACGAAACACACATCAGCCACCGTGAGCGTGGCAGTGCAATCAAAATAAGCTATACTGACGGCCAAGTCTTCAATCTCAGTGGCAGAACAACCTCGGAAACTGTGTCAAAAAGAAAATTTACAACATGGTCAGATATGCTGATAATAGGAAAAGACGCCAAATACAGACAGACAAGCGGAGCTCCGCCTACAGGGGGTGTGGCGTGCATCAAAATAAGCTATACTGACGGCCAAGACTTCAATTTCAGTGGCAGAACAACCTCGAAACTGTGTCAAAAAGAAAATTTACAACATGGTCAGATATGCTGATAATAGGGAGAAAAGACGCCAAATACAGACAGAAGGGAGAAAAAAATGTCCATCATAGACAGGACGTGCACCAGGGAAAGGAGCTGAAAATCAAAATCTGCAGGAGGAAAAAAATCAGGTGCAATGGGATAGACTAGCAAACAAGAAGAAGTCGAATATTTCTTACAAGCGACCTGAAATTCGTTTGAGATATTCGTTGTGTCAAAAAGAAAATTTACAACATGGTCAGATATGCTGATGATGATAATAGGAAAAGACGCCAAATACAGACAGACAAGCGGAGCTCCGCCTACAGGGGGTGTGGCGTGCATCAAAATAAGCTATACTGACGGCCAAGACTTCAATTTCAGTGGCAGAACAACCTCGAAACTGTGTCAAAAAGAAAATTTACAACATGGTCAGATATGCTGATAGTAGGGAGAAAAGACGCCAAATACAGACAGAAGGGAGAAAGAAAATGTCCATCATAGACAGGACGTGCACCAGGGAAAGGAGCTGAAAATCAAAATCTGCAGGAGGAAAAAAATCAGGTGCAATGGGATAGACTGGCAAACAAGAAGAAGTCGAATATTTCCTACAAGCGACCTGAAATTCGTTTCAGATATTCATTAGCATTCGTTACACTAATGCGCGACAACTTGGAGTTAGTGTCCGTCTATAGAGAACCCATTAAAAATCCCACGCCTTCGATTCCCACTCACAGACGTCAAAATTCTGTTCACCCATTCAGAAACACATCGTCAGCTTATAGATAGCACGTAAAAAATAAAACATCTGAATAAATAGAAAAAGAGTTCGACCGCTGTATATTCAACCTTGACTGTGAACACACATCGCCGGCTCCTGCACCATTAAATGAATGCAAAAAGTTGACACGATATGTCAAACCTCTGGGCAAGCATATTCAAGACTGACACTTTTGTCGAAACCGCTCTGATACATGAAAAGGTGTTTAGACCATTACATCTTTTCGATCCCAGTACATTTTCGAATCTTATGGAAATAATTTATTCTCCCTGATGCGCGCCATGCGTTCAAGCTTCTATGAATATCGTAAAAATGTGTGCGGTTTTGAGAAAATTGTGATCTTTTTGAAATTTTGGATCTTATGGAAATAACATGCGTTCATCCTCCCATGAATATCGAAAGAATGTGCGCAGTTTGGAGAAATTTGTGATGTTTTCGAAATTTCGAATCTTATGGAAATAATTTATTCTCTCTGATGCGCGCCATGCGTTCAAGCTTCTATGAATATCGTAAAAATGTGTGCGGTTTTGAGAAAATTGTGATCTTTTTGAAATTTTGGATCTTATGGAAATAACATGCGTTCATCCTCCCCATGAAATATCGAAAGAATGTGTGCAGTTTGGCAGAAATTGTGATGTTTTTGAAATTTTGGATCTTATGGAAATAATTTATTGTCCCTGATGCGCTGCGTTCAACCTCCTATAATTATTGGGAGAATGTGTGTAGTGTTGAGAAATTTGTGATCTTTTTGAAAATTTGGAGCCTTATGAAGATACTTCATCCTCCTGATGCGCGCCATGCGTTCACCCCCCTTATGAAAATTAAAAAGTCAACATCGCGTGTACAGCTAATAGCATGTCAGAATGGATATTCGTGATCTCGAGTTTTGCATCTTATGGAATCAATCCATGGTTTCTGTTGTGCGCCATGCGTTCATCCTCCCATGAATATCGAAAGAATGTGTGCAGTTTGGATAAATTTGTGATCTTTTTGAAATTTTGAATCTTATGGAAATAATTTATTCTCTCTGATGCGCGCCATGCGTTCAACTTCCTATGAATATCGAAAGTTTTGATGATCGTGATCTTTTGAAATTTCGAATCTTATGGAAATAATTTATTCTCTCTGATGCGCGCCATGCGTTCACCCCCCCCACCCCATGACAAAAAGTAAAGATCGCAGGCAGCAGTCCTAGCGGCTAATGGCATGTCAGAATAGAAATTCCGTAGTCTCTCTCAGAGTTTTAAATCTTATGGTATCAATCCATGCTCTCTGATGCGCGCCATGCGTTCAACCTTCTATGAATATCAGAAGAATGTGTGCAGTTTTGAGAAATTTGTGATCTTTTTGATATTTTAAATCTTGAAAAAGATACGTCGCTGTCTCGAGTTCCTTTAGAGCGTAGCAGTATTTAAAAGAAAACCACACGCAATTCTTCGACAAGAGTTCGGCCCCAACAAGATCGTAAACATTGCAGTGAGCACCAGCGGACGTGGCTCCTATTCGCGGGTGCTTATCGCACCGGCCCAGTCCACCATCATCTCACTGTGTGGCCACGCCCCTGTGTTTTACAGTAATGCAAAACACTTTCTATGTTAATCTTCAGATTAGTCCAACGTTTCAAGTTATCCAATAAATTATGTGTTCTCATTGACAATAAATAAAACTCTATAGGCAGCTCAGACTTTTGGAACAAGATCTGAAGATATATTGAGACAATTTTCTTCAAAAAATATCTCGAAAATATTCAGGTGACTTCCACGCAACTTAGTTTTTATTGAATGAGCGATTTTAAGTCTTTGCTTTCAGTACGGTTTTCGTCTGTACAGAAACAAGTGCACTATTCAACGTTTGGTTCGAAGAAACAGCGGACTGTTGATCAGGTGGGTAAATTAGTGCAGTTTTCAAATCATGGCTTAAAATCTTGCATTCCATTGCCTAAATCATGATTCTCCTAATGTTTTACCTAGCTAGGTAGTATCTCCTCATATTTTTTGTGTTGGAACTTCATATTTAACTACATTCTACCTGAAGCACTGAATATCGGTTCTCAATAAAGAAAATAAGCTTCTACGCATCTTCTCCAATTGGCATCAGCACGCCTACATGCTAAAGATTGTGTTCTCTCAGATTTTAGCTCGATATCAGTCACACTTCGTTTTCTATACCTTGAACTATTCGACTACATATTCGTAAGCTTGCAGACCAGGCAGATTTACACAGCCTTGAAACAGGCATTTATCCATGTTCCTCCTTCAATCCGTGATATCCATGTTCATTCATTCATAGCGCACTTACTCGATCACGACCAAACGCAACTGATCTCAATTAGTAGGTGAAGCGTAGGGCATAGATTTATGAATACACGACATGCATTCCAATTCAAAGATTAGCGTAGATAGATCTGAACATGAATACTCATTTCTCACCACAACCTTCCTGAATATTCATGGTCTCGAAAAGTGACCCAGCAGCTATTAGCAGGTCCAGCAGTAACTTTCTACTCATGAATGCGTGCAGTTTGAGAAATTTGTGATTCTATTGAGATGCTGCAGCTTATGAACTCGATCCAAGCTCTCTGATGCGCGCCATGCGTTCAACTTCCTATGAATATCGAAAGTTTTGATGATCGTGATCTTTTGAAATTTCGAATTCTTATGCGAAATAATTTATTCTCTCTGATGCGCGCCATGCGTTCAACTTCCTATGAATATCGGAAAGTTTTGATTGATACGTGATCTTTTGAAATTTTGATTTTTATGGAAATCATTTATTGTTCTCTAATCCGCGCCATGCGTTCAACTTCCTATGAATATCGGAAGTTTTGATGATCGTGATCTTTTGAAATTTCGAATCTTATGGAAATAATTTATTCTCTCTGATGCGCGCCATGCGTTCAAGCTTCTATGAATATCGAAAAAATGTGTGCGGTTTTGAGAAATTTGTGATCTTTTTGAAAATTTGGAACCTTATGAAGATACTTCATCCTCTCTGATGCGCGCCATGCGTTCAACTTCCTATGAATATCGAAAGTTTTGATGATCGTGATCTTTTGAAATTTTGATTCTTATGCAATCAATTTATGTTCTCTAATCCGCGCCATGCGTTCAACTTCCTATGAATATCGGAAGTTTTGATGATCATGATCTTTTGAAATTTTGATTTTTATGGAAATAATTTATTCTCTCTGATGCGCGCCATGCGTTCAAGCTTCTATGAATATCGAAAAAATGTGTGCGGTTTTGAGAAATTTGTGATCTTTTTGAAAAATTTTGGAACCTTATTTATGAAGATACTTCATTCCTCTCTGATGCGCGCCATGCGTTCAACTTCCTATGAATATCGAAAGTTTTGATGATCGTGATCTTTTGAAATTTTGATTCTTATGCAATCAATTTATGTTCTCTAATCCGCGCCATGCGTTCAACTTCCTATGAATATCGGAAAGTTTTGATGATCGTGATCTTTTGAAATTTTGATTTTTATGGAAATAATTTATTTCTCTCTGATGCGCGCCATGCGTTCAAGCTTCTATGAATATCGAAAAAATGTGTGCGGTTTTGAGAAATTTGTGATCTTTTTGAAAATTTGGAACCTTATGAAGATACTTCATCCTCTCTGATGCGCGCCATGCGTTCAACTTCCTATGAATATCGAAAGTTTTGATGATCGTGATCTTTTGAAATTTTGATTCTTATGCAATCAATTTATGTTCTCTAATCCGCGCCATGCGTTCAACTTCCTATGAATATCGGAAGTTTTGATGATCATGATCTTTTGAAATTTTGATTTTTATGGAAATAATTTATTCTCTCTGATGCGCGCCATGCGTTCAAGCTTCTATGAATATCGAAAAAATGTGTGCGGTTTTGAGAAATTTGTGATCTTTTTGAAAATTTGGAACCTTATGAAGATACTTCATCCTCTCTGATGCGCGCCATGCGTTCAACTTCCTATGAATATCGAAAGTTTTGATGATCGTGATCTTTTGAAATTTTGATTCTTATGCAATCAATTTATGTTCTCTAATCCGCGCCATGCGTTCAACTTCCTATGAATATCGGAAGTTTTGATGATCATGATCTTTTGAAATTTTGATTTTTATGGAAATAATTTATTCTCTCTGATGCGCGCCATGCGTTCAAGCTTCTATGAATATCGAAAAAATGTGTGCGGTTTTGAGAAATTTGTGATCTTTTTGAAAATTTGGAACCTTATGAAGATACTTCATCCTCTCTGATGCGCGCCATGCGTTCAACTTCCTATGAATATCGAAAGTTTGATGATCGTGATCTTTTGAAATTTTTTGATTCTTATGCAATCAATTTATGTTCTCTAATCCGCGCCATGCGTTCAACTTCCTATGAATATCGGAAGTTTTGATGATCGTGATCTTTTGAAATTTTGATTCTTATGGAAATAATTTATTCTCTCTGATGCGCGCCATGCGTTCAAGCTTCTATGAATATCGAAAAAATGTGTGCGGTTTTGAGAAATTTGTGATCTTTTTGAAAATTTGGAACCTTATGAAGATACTTCATCCTCTGTGATGCGCGCCATGCGTTCAACTTCCTATGAATATCGAAAGTTTTGATGATCGTGATCTTTTTGAAATTTTGATTTTTATGCAATCAATTTATGTTCTCTAATCCGCGCCATGCGTTCAACTTCCTATGAATATCGGAAGTTTTGATGATCATGATCTTTTGAAATTTTGATTTTATGGAAATAATTTATTCTCTCTGATGCGCGCCATGCGTTCAAGCTTCTATGAATATCGAAAAAATGTGTGCGGTTTTGAGAAATTTGTGATCTTTTTGAAAATTTGGAACCTTATGAAGATACTTCATCCTCTCTGATGCGCGCCATGCGTTCAACTTCCTATGAATATCGAAAGTTTTGATGATCGTGATCTTTTGAAATTTTGATTCTTATGCAATCAATTTATGTTCTCTAATCCGCGCCATGCGTTCAACTTCCTATGAATATCGGAAGTTTTGATGATCATGATCTTTTGAAATTTTGATTTTTATGGAAATAATTTATTCTCTCTGATGCGCGCCATGCGTTCAAGCTTCTATGAATATCGAAAAAATGTGTGTAGTTTTGAGAAATTTGTGATCTTTTTGAAAATTTGGAACCTTATGAAGATACTTCATCCTCTCTGATGCGCGCCATGCGTTCAACTTCCTATGAATATCGAAAGTTTTGATGATCGTGATCTTTTGAAATTTCGAATCTTATGGAAATAATTTATTCTCTCTGATGCGCGCCATGCGTTCAAGCTTCTATGAATATCGAAAAAATGTGTGCGGTTTTGAGAAATTTGTGATCTTTTTGAAAATTTGGAACCTTATGAAGATACTTCATCCTCTCTGATGCGCGCCATGCGTTCAACTTCCTATGAATATCGAAAGTTTTGATGATCGTGATCTTTTGAAATTTCGAATTCTTATGGAAATAATTTATCTCTCTAATGCGCGCCATGCGTTCAACTTCCTATGAATATCGGAAGTTTTGATGGCCATGATCTTTTGAAATTTTGATTTTTATGGAAATAATTTATTCTCTCTGGGATGCGCGCCATTTGCGTTCAAGCTTCTATGAATATCGAAAAAATGTGTGCGGTTTTGAGAAATTTGTGATCTTTTTGAAAATTTGGAACCTTATGAAGATACTTCATCCTCTGTGATGCGCGCCATGCGTTCAACTTCCTATGAATATCGAAAGTTTTGATGATCTGATCTCTTGAAATTTTGAATCTTATGGAAATAATTTATTCTCTCTGATGTTCGAATCTTATGGAAATAATTTATTCTCTCTGATGCGCGCCATGCGTTCGAACTTATATGAATATCGAAAGATTGTGATGTTTTGATCTTTTGAAATTTCGAATCTTATGGAAATAATTTATTCTCTCTGATGCGCGCCATG